CACAGCAGCCACAGAACAATCACTTCGGTCTCTATATGCAGTAAACACTGTATGCCTGGGTCACATGGAGTAACTCCTGTGCAGTTTGATAGCTTTTGTAACAATACATAACCACTCTATATGACTCAGTAAAGAACACGACACAGCACTAATTAGTGTGAGCACTTATCATTTCAGCTCTAACTGAACTGACAAACACGTCATACCACTTCTATATACCAACTGCTGCTGCTCTATAATCCCCATGCACACTCAGCAATGAAATGCTACACTGACCATAAAACTACTGTGAGGTGAGTATAAGGCTCATATAATTAACATAACACAGCCTCTCAATGTAGCGCATAACTGGTAATACATTTACCTTGAGATGCAAAAAGTCATTTAAATAGAAATGTTCTGCTCTATTGTTAGTGGTGAAACAGTCGACAGGGCACATGGTCCAAACTTACAGAAGTCTCTAATTGGATTTAGCATAGAACTTTATTTGAGTTCAATTCATCTTAAAGTTGCAGGGTTTTTTTGTTTTTTTTTTAAATGTAGCAGCTGTGTGATACAGTACATACAGTAGGTGATTAGAAGTTTATAGGTCACACACATCTGGAATGCAGGTGTTTCCACTTGTTAAGCCTGTTTAGAGCTCTTCTCAGCACGGCATGACTGCATTCACACTGTGTTGACTGACATCACTCTGACCCTCCACTGAGTGCTGCTGCAGTTGCTGAGGTGGTTTATATTTCTTTGGTGACCTTGTGTGATTCCAGCAGCTCCACCCAACTTCAACCTCATCAGTCATTGTTGCCAAATGTCAATTTTAATGGTGAAGAAATGATTTTTGACTTTTTGTACAAATTAATCAGAATTTTTAAATACCGACTTTGTTTGTCCTTTTGTTAGAGAACCTTTAACTGTGTTCCCCTGCACACTGCAAGAGGGTAGGTAACATGGGGGTAAGGTAATAAAACCTAGGGGGGGGGAAGTACCAGTGAATGCAGTCAAAGTATGATGTTCACACCAGGGATTAATTCCGAAAGTGCTGTTGCTATTCAGTCCCTGCAGATAGGCTGTGACAGTAACCAGGATCCACATTTATATCCAAATAGGTGTGACAGTTAGGAATTTCTTCAGGCATCTTCTAATTTAATGCATTAGAGCACAAACTGCTCTTGAGATTAAAGCTGACCTCAGGTCTTGTCATTAGAAAATGAAATTTTAACCTTTAAGATCAAGTGGTGATACAAGAATTAATTCCACAAAACCACAAGGTCTATTTCAAGGCCAGAGTTAAATCTGCTGGTGGCTTTCTCTCCTTCAGTCAGGTTATAAACACCACCCATTGTGAGCCATTAGGCCTTTAGACACCACAAATTCTCAAGAAGAAGAAACATATTATGTGCTTGTTATGTTTTGTTGCTTGTAAACATAATATGGGGGCACAACATTATATTTTGTCACCATGCATAAAAGTGTATGATATGTTAAAGTCCCCATGTCATGATCATTTTGCTCATTTCCAGCCATTTAAAGTTTAATCTTGGGTACCTCTAAATTAGCTTGGCGCCCCTCATAACTCCAAATAGTTTGTAATTGTTTCAGAATCAGAGAGCCAAAAAGCCTCTTCCTTAAAATGAGAGGACAGTTCACTGGCCAGCTGCTTGTAGGTTAGAACCAGTCAGGTAAATCAGGAGCATTCACAGACATCCAGTAACCTCAGGCCCTGTATTTTTCTCCACATCCTCTGGTCACAGTGCAGCAGCAGGAGGTGAAATATATCCACAAAACCAAATGCACTTTTACAGTGGCAACAGTGGATGTCAGGAAAGCTCACATGAAGCTGGATGGCCTGGATTTTATGCCCATTCAGGGAAATCCTTAAACTACTTTATTTTGTTAGAAAAAAAGTCTTGTGAGCAGGAGTTTGGGAAATGTGTATAAACCGAGTTACTTATGCATAGAAATACTAGAACATGTGTACACCTCATTTTTTGAGCTTTAGGGGATGTCTAAGATGATAATTCACTGATGTAGATAAGTCAAAAAACAAGGAAGAGCATGTCATGGGCCCTTTAAGCAAGAGGCGGAGTAGGATTTTTAACCTTAGCATTCATATGAGCGGTGGTTAAATTGGGATTCATTAGTCGGGGGAACATATGGGTCAGGGGAAGATGACACACGTAGTATCTATATGTACTTCAAATACTGTCTACTTTCATATGGGCACTGAGGGTAGTGTTTTAATCCTGACTTCAGGACTCGAAAGTGACTTTTTATGCAATGCATTATGTAAATGCAGGCCTTCTGACTGATATTCGGTGATTTAAAGTGTGTGATTTAAATAGAAACACTTGGAATAAACAGTAAACATCATGAAACCTAAAAAAAAAAAAATCTATTTAAAAGATTTCCTTTAAACTTATTCAGCAAATTTCTTTATCACTTTTTACTCACAATTATATATGATCTTTAATCTATCAGTCTCAGTTTTAAGGCAGAGCAAATAAATGGCCACATTGTGCTTTTACAGAAATTACACAGTCCACTTCCTCACTGTACCCATGGTTAATTAGCCACCCAGCTTTTGCTTGATACTGGTGTTTGTAGTATTTTATCCACCCCATTTAATACATCGGTGAGCGTAGAAACAGAAACAAACTCCTGTCTGTGTAACAAACCGCAGTCCAACAGCAACACAAACCACAGTCTCCAAAATGATCCTACAATTGAATCAACACTCTCTATTGCAGGACTGTAGATCTGACAGTTTTAAACTGCCATGCCTAATAAACTGACCACTGAGTATAAATTCATCCATTCATATCTACAGCAAGTCTCAACATAGACTCAATAATAATTGTAAAATCTAAAAAATAAAAAGACAACTCTTGACTTTAATTACTGGGTGAAATTTATAAAAAACAAACACTGAAATCAGTTACTGTCTCTCATTCAGCTTCACTCTTACTGCATATGTTGACTCACAGCTGACAGGTACAGGTGGGACAGGGAGGAGTGTGGGGGCTGCTCTGAGACAAAGTCCACCACAACTTCCTTATTTAGCTTTTTAATCACTAAGGCATTACCGCACTTAGTAACAACCATAGATGTTGTCAACTCAAGTAACTGGTCTCACTTTACCTGACTCTGCTGCCTCCCTGCCTGATGTCACCATGTGACAATGGCTAGTCTGACTGCGCTGCTTAACAAACAGTTCAGTAAACACATAAAATATTAGCTAAATGACTAACTAAGCAAGCTTACCAGGAGCAAAACTATTATTCATGCCACTGCAGACTAGAACCAGCACATGTATGTGCACATCTGAGAACTTGTGAAATTTGATGTCATTGGTTTGGCGTTAACGTCACTGCTTGTTGCAGTCTAGATCACCATATAACTTAAAGGGAGAATGAAAAACTTCAGGTCTGAAATATGATATGACATTTCCAGCTGGATACCATTTGAACATCAGGAAGCCAAATGGCTCCGGTGGGCTCTGGCTCAATTTAACACCTGAATGTGAAGTCTTTTTGGATTATGTCGACAGAATTTGGATTATGTTGACACTCTGACCAATGTAGCATGTATTGCATTTACACATGCATTAGAAAAACCACAGCCTCAGTAAAACCTGGGCATAAATCTTGAAATCTTTCAGATAACATAGGTCAAAAAGAGGTTTGGCAGCATTAATTTCCCTTATTAAATCGCCACGTTACATCACGCATTTACTGAGATGGTCCTTGACTGAATTAGCCTACCAAATCTGGAGCACCTGTCCCCAGTGTTCACTGTCATGTAGCCCCCCAGCCAGTGTGGTGTGCTTTTCCTGCACCTGTAACCCTTGTTTTTGTTCACTACAGTCCACACACACAAACACAGACTGATGTTATGCCACACCTTGCATTATTTGATTTGATACAAAATTATTACAAAATAAAATGTGGTATTGCATGTCATTTTCCATGTTCACATGGCCCTGCAGGGAGGGTTAGGATTACAATATCTGAATAAGAGACAATATAAAGTATCTTTCTACCACAAATTGTCATGGAAGCCCACCATCTTCCCTATAACACAATGCCCTGTGGGTGCACACCTGCTAGAAATACTGATCAGCATAAATACTAATATATGGACCAACCTGGGCTTTTTAAATCATGGTTTCCTAAAGTGCACGTTCAAACTTAAAAACAAGTACATGTAAATGAACTGCACATGATCACAGTAAATTGATTTAATTGCATCCTGAGGCTATTATTGCTAAATAGGTGTGAAAACGCTGACAGGGCCGATGAAGTGTACCGAACTTCATTTGAGGCTTCTTATTGGCCAGTGGCCAGAGCTCAGGTCGTTGTATTGAAGCGTGCACTTAGGATGGTGGTCACTCATGGGACATGAATACGGCACTGTTAAGCCAACAACACCATCAGTCCAGCAGCTGTCAGCCGCCCCTTCTCCAAATAAGGTAATTATAGGAGAGAAACCGGAAAACTCTCCATGGTAACTCACTCGCACACAGGATGGGCAAACAATGGACTAGTAAGGAGGAGATGATTGACAGCCCGTTGCGGCTCGCGCTCGCTGCCTTCCATGGCATCCATTAGCGATAAAAGCTTACAACAACAACAACACACGAATACACACAAATAGGCTACGTTAATATTTTATTCACGTATTCGGTGCAATAAATCTATTTCTTTTCTCCCAATCGGGGCGTACCACGGGATGAACACCTAGCTACTAGTAAACAAAAGCCTGATAAATAAAGCTTTAACACACTGAGTCCTATAGCCTAATAGGTTGTGCCTTGTAGCAGCACCTCACTCATCTGCAAGAAAGCCGACAGTTTATTTCAGCCTTTCCAATGTCAGTTACCATTATTATTAGGCTGCATTAATGTTACGCCCTCCTCCTGAGTTGTAATGGAACAGGCTAAAACTTGGCGCTGCAAGATAATCACAATGTGGATTTTGCAAAAGAAGGAAAACAGCTGTTATTACCTCAGTTTCTCCTGCTCATCCTTGTTCTTGAGGGCGCCGAGACTCTCCAGTGTGATGAGCAGTAGTCCGTGCCTCAGCTGAACAACGCTGTTTTGTATGCAACTTGGCTGCTGCAGGGACGCTACTGTTACAACCTTTCAGAAATCTAATTGTAGTTATGCTACGCGTGCGTCCCTCGCGCGCCACATGCAAACGCGAACCTAACTGATTTAAAAGTTCCTACTTCTGTTCAATGCAACTATCTTTGATAATTAGGCTTCTAATGCATGACTGCGACGCTGTTTTGAATGAAAGGCAACGCAGCCTTTATTCCTCTCATCCACAACAGTCCTGGATACTGTGGGTCACAGCAAGTGTCTCCGCCCCATCCCCTCTGGCAGAGTGTTGGAGGGTGGCCTAGCCTATATATGATTGACTGCTTGTCAATTAAGTCATATGCTCTTGTTTTAACTTTCTCACGAGTGGGCATTTAGTAGCATGTTGTTTGTATATAAAGATTTTTAACATGGCCATTAAATGCTAATACAAAATAGCCTAACAGAACAGAATTGGTCATTATGTGCCAGCTATAGGTTATTTCATTTTATCCCGTCTTTCTCGAGGCCTCATGGTATAGCCTACATCCGTTGTTTTAATAACTTGTACTTTATTTTATATATTTTATTTATGTATTTATCCTTCTCACATGTGGTAGGCAAGTCTACTTCTATTGTTTTAGACTAATAATTTAATGGCAGCCTACGGTGGCATTGTCAAGTCAGTATAAATATAAAGAGATCGTCTTTTTTTTCAATGTAAAGGTTTTCAAGGCTATACAAACTAAAATATAGCCTACAGTGTCAACAATAGCACAGACCCACACTGATCTGTGCAAACGATCAGCAAACAGATATTTGTTGATTTTACATTTACTGGACAACCCACAGATTGTCATTCTGACTCTTAGTCATTTGTTTATCCATTTAATTACTTATGTTTCTAAGTTGTTCTGTAGGCCCTGGATGAAGGTATTTTGAAATAATCATATACCTATGTGGCCTTTGATTTGGATGTAAACCATGCTCTGAAGTGATAATCTTTGTACCTAAAAAGTTATTAAATAAAAAACTGCTCATTTTTGGTCTCAAGCTACGTACTTATTTTAAAATAGGAAAATGTTTATTTTGTCAATCCGTTTATTTTGAAGTTAATTCACTAACCGGAAAAGTAATTATGTCTGTTTTCTTTTAGCTTGATGGTTCTTGTAGTGCCCGTAAACTGAGCAATCACAGTGAAGTTCGGATCCCTGTTGGACGTACATTCGTTTTATGACTTTACATGGGAAGGCTGGGTGGGATGCACAGAAAGTAAAACCTCACACCCGCTGTAGAGGCTTATGAAACAACCGGAGACACAAATCAAAGTTACTTTTATTGGGCACTTATTGAGCAGTGTAGTCCTAAGGCGCTGTGGCCTTTCGAGCCATTGTGGCTGTATATAACCCAAAGGTGAATCTAGAGCAGTGACGTGCGGTGAGGTTGACAGCTGGTGAGGCGCTGACTCTTTTACAGTCAGATTTACAAATACAAATGAACCCTTAACAAATTGTCTGTTAACAGACAATGCGTTGTGTTTTATATCTCATATCAGCATTCTTCACACAAACGTGACCCATATTTAATTTGAGGTTAAAATTTATTCCAGTTGAGCTTATTTCTAACTAGAAATAATAAAAGTTTATGGTCTTACCTTTACTTGTACACGAAATCCATTTGTCAGCTGGTATGTATTACAAACCCTTTTACCGTTCGAATCCAATATTAAAACAAATGTTTTTAATAAAGAAGATCCTTCTGGACAAAAATGTCCAGACTGTCAAAAATGTTTTGATTGAAAGTCCAGATTTGCGAATTTTCTCA